ATATTTTAATACATTAATAATTTTGCAGCTTTGTTTCGGTTCGGTTGGTAAAAATAATGTTGTAAAAAAGAATTTACGCTCATTTGCCGGTTTCGAGTTTGAAAAGGACTCTAGCGAATATAAGAAAAAGTTTGATGCCATTAAGAAAACCGACGCTAAGGCACTAAAGGGTATTTGTGATATACTGGCATTGGAGCGCAAAGGTATAAAAACTTAAAATAATAGTATTAAATATATATTGTACTATGTCTCCGGTTAAATGTAGGCACAAAAGATGAGATTGCAAATCGTGTGCTAAAATTCCTTATGGAACCCGATGAATCGCTATGCGTAGATGAGGCTGCCGAAGAGGAAGAAGAAGATATTGAAGAAGATGAAGAGGTAATTTACACGCCTTTCTTATTAGCCCTTTGTTTATCAATTTTTTCTGTTGCAACAGCCAGTAGATGAGGAAGAGGAAGAAGTTAGCGCTGAAGAGGAGCGTAAACGTAAACCCAGCAGCCGCGCACCCGCACGAAATTCAACAAGTGGCCGCCCTAGACGCGCAACCGCTGGAAAAAGTATGGCATAGAATTTTTTATCCCAATACTAGTAGTCTAATGTAAATGAAAAAAAAATATATATATATACTTTTTAACGTTTGTGTTGCAGAGATGTCCGCTTATGTCGACTTCTCGAGCTCGGATGAAAGTGAACGCCAAGCAGTGCCGGCTAAACGAAAGCGTAACGATGGCTCCGAATCGGGCTCAGATGTAAATAGCAAATTATATTTAATTTCAAACTTTTTCCCTATAAGCGTTTGTTATTTATGCTTTTAGTATAATCCGTCAGGCGGCAACTCTGATTCGGATGGTGCGCGTGGCGGCGTTCGTAAAGCATTGGCACGTGGTGGGCGCGGCGGCCGACCAGTACGTAAATCTTGGAAGAAGAATTCCGATTCTGAAGAAGATGATTTTGATCTATCAGATGCCGATAGTGATGTGAGGGCAATCTGTGCTGTTTTGATATACATATACTCTTACTTCAATTTTTTATTAATAAATTTTTTAATAAAATGAAAATGTATTATGGTTTTTGTTGTTCCAGGTGCCGAAACGTAAACGCGCTACACCTGGTAAACGTGGCCGACCTGCTGTTGCTGCTACTACCAAACGTGGTACACGTGGACGTGCTGCCAAAGCAACTAAATCGCGCAAGCGCAAGGACTCTGAAAGTGAGGAAGAGGTGTCTGAAGAGGAGGAAGAAGAGGAGCTGTCTGATTTCGGCAGCGATCAGAGTGAGGTAAAAAGCGATGGCACATTTGTGTTTTTTTTTTTTTTGCATCTAAGCAATACTATTAATGGTGTATGCTTTTCTGCAGGAAGAGGAGTCCAAGAAGTTTAAGAAACCCCCGGCGCCTGTGAAAAATGCTAAAACTAATAACAAAGCCAAAACGCCAGTCAAACGTAAGCATAAGTAGTTTTGGTAACTGTACCATATAATTTTAGTCCCGTTTTGACTGTATATACATATGTACATATATATTCAATTATTTAACTTAGCTGCTGGTCGGCCGAAAAAATCAAGCAAAAAAGAGGAGGAAGAGGAATCCGATGATGAGGATGAGCCACTAAACAAGAAGGGAAAAGCGACATTCCCCACGGTACGATGCATAAGCGTGCAATTTTTGTTTTTTTTTTTAATAAATTGTTATTTTTGGTACAGGATGAGCAAATACGCAATTATGTTAAGGAAATATTAGATAAAGCAAATCTTGAAGAGATCACTATGAAAACAGTGTGCAAGCAAGTGTATGCAAAATATCCCGATTTCGATTTAACAGATAAAAAGGACTTTATCAAGGCCACAGTGAAGGCGGTAAGTTTGGAAAGCCTAAAATTTTTACTGACTCGCAATTAATGAAATATTTTTATCAAAATCGTGCATTGAATTTTTTTTATCTTAGAACATGTTTTAATTTTTTCTTTTTCACAATTATCAAAAATTTGTACGCAATCGCTCAAAAACAATAAACAATTATACAGAATGGTGTTTGATAAAAAGTTCTTTACATATGAAAATTACTTATCAAAACAACCACAATATCTAGTTTTCAAAACCCCTTTCCCTTCGCAAATTAATTGAATTTAAAAAGGTTACGATTAGCATTATACATCAAATGCTCCCCTGTTTTAAAAAATTAACATCGCCGTTCGCAAACCTAGTTTGCCAGTCTGCTATTCTTATTTTGAATTTAATTATTTTTAATTTCATTTTTAATACAATATGAGTGTACAGTCTTGCCAAACCCATAAATTACATATATTTTCAATGAATTTTTTTTTTTAAAGCTAATTGCGGCATAAATGCAGGCCACACAAGTATGTGCAAAAAACTCAAAACATTGCAATATTGCAAATTAAAAAGGCAGCGGTGCTACAACACAGCAAGTATGCTAACCAACAATTGTTGTCAGTCTGCGCCACAGCATCGGTGTATTTATATTTAGCTATTGAAGACGGTTTAAATCGACGAATTCAGGAGCTTTAAGATTTCAAGATTTTTTTTGTCAATATTAAGATTGCTTTTCATCACTCCCCTCCGGCTCTTCCTAAGTTGGTGCACCATGTGCATTCTAATTGAAGCGAAACACACTCAAAACAATTAAAAAAAAACACAAATCTTTGATTATTTGACTAATTTTATTTCAACTTGATCATACACAAATGGTGTGTATAATAACTTGTCAATGTTGTATTTCTTCTTTTATTATATATCTAGATACTATATACATCCAACGTTCTTTATTCTCATTTTTTTACATGAATGGTGTACTTGCACACAAAACTACACCCATGCATACATAATATATTTTGTTTTTAGTTCCAAAGCATTGTATAAATACTAGCTTTTCTTATGACTTTCAAGAGAAAAACAAAAAAAAAATGTGGAATGCAAATTTGTAGAATTTCTGTAAAATGTTTAATTATAATAAAACGCAAAAACCCTAAACATAATAAAATGTGCGTAAAGTAAGATTACGTAAATTATAATAAACAAATGGAAAACATATACAAAAAGTAAAAATCAAGTTATTTAATTTTTGGTTTGTATTTGCTAAAAATACTATTTGTAATAAGGAGAAAAGTAGCGGAAAGCAGATACACTAAAAACAATTCTGGAAAAGCAAAAAAAAAATTGGATGAAATTAAACAAAAAACTAGCGTCAGTACAAACAAAAAAAAACAAAAAAGTATGTATGTACTTTATTTTTTAATATTTGGCCACATTTAAGACAAATCGACATATAAAAAAAAAAAAAACAAGTCAAAAATGCTAAAAAGGGAGAATTATCATAACAAAAGTATGCGCGAATTATGTTAAAAAAATGTGTATGGAGCAAATAAGTGAAATAAAGTGAAAATAAAATTAACTCCTATCTAAAAGGTATTACTTTTTTTAATAAAAATATATGTTAGATGGCTGAAAGTGTTTCAATATTCCCCTTCGAAAGCCGGCCCGAAGCTTTTTGCAGATTGCCAAAATTTGAAGGGAGTATATAGTCGATAAAACANATTAACTCCTATCTAAAAGGTATTACTTTTTTTAATAAAAATATATGTTAGATGACTGAAAGTGTTTCACTATTCCCCTTCGAAAGCCGGCCCGATGCTTTTTGCAGATTGCCAAAATTTGAAGGGAGTATATAGTCGATAAAACAAAAACTATTTGTTACTTATAAAAATTTAGTGTATCGCTTTCAAAATAACAATTTTTAAACGCTTTCCCGGAATCCACTCGGTTCTCGCAGTGAATTATCTTTTTTGTCTGCTATTGATTCGTGCCTCGAAATGGTAATTGTGGATTTTAGAAGGACAAAATAGGCCACCGAAGCAATAATACGTTAACACCGTGATTGTTCGATGACTTTTTTTCGTGTTTTTAGCCGGAAATATCTTCAAAATGACTGACTTATGAGATGGTGAATTATCCTAGTGTAAAATACATGAAGAAACTGTCCACAAATCTGACCTTTTCCGACGAATTTGCTCTCTCCCAACGTTCTGCCAAGAATTGCAGGTGCACTACACCTCGGCAATGAAAGACACTAAACTTGACTGTTACAGCCGTATTCTAATAAAGTAGCAAACCTTAGCTCATCACTGCTGTGATTTCTATTGCGCCTCAAAGTTTGCTGCTGCAGCAAATATGCCGCTACAAAACAAATTGTCGAGTTTTTTGTGTATTTTTCTAGCACTAAAAATCGAATTTTTGTCGCACATTTTGTGGCGCACTAGAAATCACAACAGTGATGAGCTAAGTTTTGNAGTTCTCGCAGTGAATTATCTTTTTTGTCTGCTATTGATTCGTGCCTCGAAATGGTAATTGTGGATTTTAGAAGGACAAAATAGCCCACCGAAGCAATAATACGTTAACACCGTGATTGTTCGATGACATTTTTTCGTGTTTTTAGCCGGAAATGTCTTCAAAATGACTGACTTATGAGATGGTGAATTATCCTAGTGTAAAATACATGAAGAAACTGTCCACAAATCTGATCTTTTCCGACGAATTTGCTCTCTCCCAACGTTCTGCCAAGAATTGCAGGTGCACTACACCTCGGCAATGAAAGCCACTAAACTTGACTTTTACAGCCGTATTCTAATAAAGTAGCAAACCTTAGCTCATCACTGCTGTGATTTCTATTGCGCCTCAAAGTTTGCTGCTGCACCAAATATGCCGCTACAAAACAAATTGTCGAGTTTTTGTGTATTTTTCTAGCACTAAAAATCGAATTTTTGTGGCACATTTTGTGGCGCACTAGAAATCACAACAGTGATGAGCTAAGTTTTGCTATTCTATTAAAATAGAGTGGTTAATCCGACTCTGAAGAGGTTTCTATTCTACAGTTTTAAGGTACTACCCCGAAGATTGTTGAATGGTTGCATTGTATGCCGAAACTCGTAAGTCCATGTTCCATCATCGGTTACGAATTGTCTTTTAGCGACCTTCGCGGCATCGAGCTTTTGAAGTAAATTCACGAATATCGCAAAACACTTCATTGATGAAAAATCGAGCACTCCAGAGCAGAACACGCTCAAACTTGAACAAAAGGTTAGAGGTGTGCCAACTTGGCGAATGAAAGAATTTTGTGTATTCTTAAGGTCCTCTTACGAGAATCTTGAATCGTGAGCTTGTTAAGTTATGTATTCTCGATACTCTCTTGACGGAATATATTTTATGAGAAAGGCTGTAAGAAGTTTTTTGGTCGATATCGAACCCAGCCGAATTTTGTGGACGAATACCGATGTGAAATCTCGATAGATTTGAATGTTTTTAACTGTAAAGGAGTCGCATTTTCGCTAGGGGTCGAAGATATAATCATGATGAAATATTTAAATATTTGTATCATGGATATAATGCGAAAAATGCCATACGATGTAATGCAAATATTTCCCTAGCAAACATTGAGGTTAGTTATCGATTATATAATGATTGGAGAACTAGCCACATTCTCCAATCTCTAACGTTTGAGATCGACTCGAAAAACTATCGAGAATCATAGCGATCTCAACAAAAATGGGACATAGTTCTTGACTCGAGAAAATATTAATTATCTAATCGAATTCTAATGTTGATCTCTAATGGGATTCGAATTTGAATTTCAAACTGCTATTTTGCTTTACTAAATAAAACGCTTTGTTTGTAAAATTTTTATTAAATGTATTTGCAATAAAATAATAATGAA